AAAAACAGAACCAAATGCTTCTATTTAGATATGAAGCCACAAAGCTACCAACTAAATTAATTTGGGACACGAAAAATCATAAAAAACGAACTCTTTACAGGAACAAGAGATGCAAACAACAAACACAAATAGCTTATCTTGCCTTTGATTAAAAAAATAGGAAAAAGAAGTGGAAACCACAACAAACTCGTTTAACTAAGAGAAAAGGAAACTATGAAGCCCCCAATAATCATTTGTTAATAATATAGATCATTGATCTGAAACACAAATTCATAAGAGATTAATGAAAAAACTAACCATCATTTGTTAAAAATGTAAACCATCCATCCTAGCCACCAATACATAAGAGATTAACGAAAAAACCAACCGATGTAGTGTATGTGCCTTATACTTTTGTACTGCAAGTGTATAAATATGATTTCCCTTGTCGATATTTGGAATACAATCCATTATCAAGTCCATATGTAGGTATGGCGTGAATCCATTCGTCTGAATCATCCTTATTATTCTCCTTCAAGGTCCCACTTAATTCAATATTTCTATCTACTGCCTTAGGGAAGTTTTCCTGGCAAACATCCTGCCTCAGCAACCTATTCGAATACTTAATCCCCATCAGGTTCCTTTGATGCATCCAAACTCAAGGTTACATCTTTATTCACAGGTTGCTCTACGACTTCAGTGGTGCACCATTGTTTTCACCTACCTTGGCATGCTCAGCGATGCCAGTGCCGTTTTTCATCGCAGAACAAAACGAACTGCACCAAGCTGGATTCAGAGAAAATATAAGGAAACAATATGTCACACACCAAGAACACAACAAAGCAACAAGATATTAGGAAAAACAATTATTGTTCATTGCAAATTACTGCTTCACAGTTAACATTCAGTAAATGTGTTTTTCACCGAGATTAAAACTCATATGGAGGTGTGATTATGTGCATAAACAGAAAATCTTTTCATTGAATGCTTAGATTAAGGCATAATAAAGCCATTACTGTTGAAAAAAAAACCCCTCCCACAAAAACGAAACCTCAATATCCTCAAACCCCATACATCATCAAATACAACGCATCACACAAACCAACAACATCACCTCATCAGTTCTTCCACTGCCCTTCAAACTGTAGTTATACATAATCAAAGGCGCATCAAATAAGATCCCTAGCTAGGGTATATCATACCTATTGTCAAACTACCGAAAAAATAAATTAACAAAAAATAACTGTAAAAGAAAAAAAATAAGAAACTCACCAGAAAATCGAATGAATAGTGAGAGATTCAGAACCTGCTCGTGAAGTTACCCCACGGAAAGCACCGAATTTTGACTTTTGCAGCCCCTTTGATATCCATCGCGACGCTAAAAATCTGAGATGCCACCTTTGTCGGTCCGAACGCCAAACCTAAATCAAAATGAAAACTAAGATCGATAAGCACGAGACCAAAATTTCGAAATAAACTAAACAAATACTACAATTTTTCCCACAAAAACATCAAAATTGAAAAATTACAAAACACAATAGAGCTCAAACCTGATCGTCCATGGAATTTTATCGGTGATTTGAATAGAGATTTCATGGATTTTTTTTTCACAGTTCTCTCTCTCACAGCCATAAAAGAGAATTTGGGACCCGTGTCCGCGAATTCTTCGGAGGATGCTGGTCTTGGATTTTTCTGCTCCATAGAGAATTGTGAACTTCTTGATTTCGTCCGGTGGTGCTGGCGGAGGCCGATGCGTATCGTTGAGATGTTTCTGGTGAAAGTTGAGGTTAAGGGATTGAATCCTTCACGATGGCGGCGGTGGGTGTGGTCCGATCGGGTGAGGCGTCGTCCTTCTGTGGTGGTTGCGGTGGCGGCAGAAGGCTGAGCTAATGGTGGTGGTTGGGGCCGCTCGACGTGAATCCACTGGGGGGAGAAAGGAGGGCAGAGTTTGAATATTGTAGAGAATGAATTGTTGTTTTCGTCTGTCCTGCCTTTTGTCTCTTCAAGCACGTCTCCCAGCAGATTTTGAGGGAACAAATCCCGCAAGAAGCGTGCACAAGAAAAGAACAAAAATGACTTTAGAACCCTCAAAAAGTTGGAATATAGAAGGATATTTGAGTCAAAACATTTGTGTCCAAAAAATAACATTCAAGTAATTGCTCACTAAAATGCCATGTGTCAAGCAACGAAGCAGGCACTTGTCACCATTTAAAGGGAACTCACTTCTTCATATATAGACTAGGAAGCTTTCGCTGTGCACAGCACAGCCGGCCCAATTTAATCATTAATATTAAACCTTTTATTGATATTTAATCATTAATATTAAACCTTTTATTGATAATCAATATTCGACCTTTGATATTGAGAGAACATATTTTTTTTTAATTGTAACAAACCACTCATATTACTACTTAGAAATTGACTTAAGCATTCCAACCATCAATCACGATTTCACAAAAAAAAAAAAAAAATAATAATAATAAATAAATAAACATTTTTGCAAGGATATATATTTTAAAATTTTAGTTTAGAAACAAAACCAAATGCAAAAGGCAAAGCGTCAGGGCCAATTAAAACTTGAAAGTTCATGGTGCATAGTTAATTAGAATTAATTGGTTGTAAGGCGAGTATTTTTACAAAGGCTTACAACAGCTCATCTGTCAGCCTATCCATGAATAGGTAGCATCTCACGAAAACTTAGATACTCTTCTCAACTAATTGGCCAGATAAATCATTTATCAAACTATTTTATCATACTGCAAACAAAAAAGCAACTAACATTTCTCCTGAAATGAATAAAGCAGGAAACAAAAAAGGATACGAAACTATCTCGAATACAAATATCAGGTGTGAATACTCCCATCAGAAAGGCTTCTTACGGATCTTTGTTGAGTAAATATTTGATTCATTCTTAACCGCACTCCTTACTATTTTTTTTTTCTAGGGATTATGAGACGGCAACCCTTTTTGTCACTCGAATTAGCACCACCTGATCGAATCTCGTGCGGCGGTGTCTTTCCTAGTTTACCAAAACGCAAAATAAAGTAGTAGTCCAAAAATAAACTAAGCAATCAACTGCCAGTGAGAAGAAACGTTTATTCTATAAGTTAAAAAAATGGTACCAAAAATACACAATTCAACTGCATGCGGTTCAATTTTGAGTGGATTCAAATTCACAATTCAACTGTGGATACAACAAAATGGTGCCATGAACTAAAAAGATACACGGTTTATACAGACAAACAAATACATTCTAAAAGATGTGTAACAGAACCATGTTACATGTTACATATGTTGAGCAATTGTACATGTAAAATGTCTAATTTGTGTCCATAACCATATGAAAGAACATTGATCAAGTGAAACAATACAACTATACAAATATCATATCAATGGAGTGTACGATTACAAAAAAAGACGGGTGGAAAATAAAATGGTTTCTAACTCTTCACAGATAAAAGGACACACGAATTGTATCTCTCATATTTCGCTTTAGAAACCTGTAAGTCTTCACATTGTGGCAGCATTAGAAATCCAATTATCCCAATGTCAATTCATTCTAAATTGATTGGAACAATTAAATGAAGAAAACTTGCACTCCAATTCCAGACACTTTTCTTTTACTATCTAAGACAGAAGAAAATAATATGCATCATTACAACTAAAATGATGGAAAGATAATAAACTGAAATTTATGAGTATAAGATATGCAACTAAAAACAATATTCATATTGATACAATTATATCAGGGAAAAAACAAATAATCTCTACCAACTCACCAGTTCTTATAATTCTTTTAAGCTTCTAATTCTTTTAAGCTTCTGATAGACACTACTAATACCAACTCATCAGTTCTTATAATTCTTTTAAGCTTCTGATAGACACTACTATAAAGGTCAAATTCCTAGTTCCCAGTTTGAATCAATTCTATATTTATGAGCTATAGTTGTGCCTTGTGCGCTAATTTTTCCAAGTTTACCAAAGAAATCAATCTGCCATTTGACAGTTTTTTACAACATAGAAAACCGTTAATACAAAAATATGCACACTATCTACGAATATAATTTTTTTAGCTCTACTTCAATTATTTGGGAAGTATATTTGGAGCACTCGTGACAAATACCATTTCACCTAAGATTTATCACTTCGACAACAAAATCCAGCTAGTGCAACACTTCCACCACACTATCTACATACATAAATATGTAGTTCTACTTCAATATTTTGGGAAGTATATCTGGAGCACTCGTGACAAATACCATTTCACCTAAGGTTTAGCACATAGACAACAAAATCCAGCTAAAGCAACACTTCCAACTCCTACATTAATGAGAGAGCCAGCCAACCACGAAACAAGTCAAATTATTATGATCAACCATATCATATTAAGATACATTCTTCCTATTCCAAAATCTACCAGATATAAAACATTTGTCAATGTTGAAACCTTCCACACACTAAACAAAACCTTCAACAACCCAAATGGGTAAAGTCCTTCCAATATGTTCATACTTCGATTTGGGTGAACCACTATCATTTTTAAAAATCAACCAAATATACATACCATTCCATGGGGCATAAAAATGAAACAACAATTAGTGCAAACATACTTTTCTTTGTCTGTCCAGAACCTTCTCCCTCTAGGTAGCTTCTTTCGCGCTCTCATGAAGTCCCGACTCCACCAAAAACTAATCGCAACAAAAAGAAAAGTTCCACTACATAAGAATTCCCAATACATAATTTGCAAGCACACCTCATAACAAAATAACTTTTGAAAACCAATCAACAACATGGAACGAACCTTCTACAACTTCCCATTTATTTGAATATTTTTATGGAGGGGCCCTGCATGCGACAAAGACCAGAAACACCACTGCTTAGCTGTTTTTTCTCCGCCGAGGATGAGACGGGGAGGGAGACGAACTCAATCTATCCGATACAACCATAAACCTCTATAATCAATAAACACCTCGCAGATAAACTTCAACGCTAAACCTACTCAAATTCAATTCCATACCTAAATCAAAGTTAGAAAGCGAAAAACTAAAACCCTAACCCGCCAATTAGTGCACAAAACCCAATTCCGACGAAAGCAAGCACACAAACAGAAGAAAAAAGCTGCCTTAGAAAAAAAATTATCACCATCTCTTCAGGACAAAATTCCAAACCGATAGCACAGACTTCTAAAACCTATCGAAAATAAATTCAAATAAAATGAACACTTAAAAGTCATGCACATCGAACCTTGATCCCACCGAGTCTGAGAAGAACCCCAAACTCCTCGGCATCATCGGATCTGTCGTTGCTCTTGATGTTGCAGAGGAAATCATGACGGGAGACTGAGATTTGGAGGCTTCAAAATCGGGCGGAACTGAAACAAAAAACAATTGAAGACATTTGCATAAGAAGAATGGAAGATTCCGATTTGAAGGCTAGAAAAATTGGGTGTGAAAAATTCTGTAGAGGAATTGAACGCGCACGTTTGGAGGAAAATACACAGAAAACGACGTCGTATTCATGAGGGCGACGTGGCTTCATTAGGAGAGGAGGGACACGTGTCAAAAATTGAAGGTGGGGCTTCTTTTTTATAGATAAGAGAATAAGATAAGAGAGATATACTTCTCTTCTTTGTGAATTCTTATGAAGAAAAGTGAGAAGGCTTGATCAATCCCAAAACCCATTTCTATTTTGTGTGTTCCCTAAAGATTTCTAAAAGAGAGAGGAAATAGAATTTCTGGACAAAGTTCCAAAAAACTTGTTTGAGCCTTGTGTTGCATATTATTAAGAGAAATATTAAATAAATAAATATTTAGTTTTGTTGAGTGTCTCTTTCTCCATTGTTATCTATTATTTCCAACAGATTCCACTAAAACAGGATTTATATTCACGACAAATCTAAAGGGGAATGTGTTTTAATTTAAAAACATCAGCGATGAAAACGACAATTCAACTCTGTTCTACGGGGGCTTCGCAAACGACTTTTAGATACAACATGGCAACATAACATCTTAAAAATTTATTGTGCAAAAAACTGAGTACAGTTACACTTGTCGAACAAAAAAACCGTTTTTAAATAGAAACCTCACCCTGATTTAGTGGCCTAATTTTATAAGAGGAAATAGTACGAATTCCCCAGTCCAATACACAAATGAAAAGTCTCGTATAGTCGAAATAAGGCTTTCAAATTAAGTTTCGAATTAGTGCATGCTGATAAATGGAGTTATGTCTTGGTCCGAGTGGGGATAACATTTCTCTTATGCATGACCATGAAGTTTTGAAATATCCAAAATCAAACGCCTACCAAAACCTCTGGAATGAATGAATACAAAGTGAACAATTAAAAGAACATCAGTATAATAAAAGTAATCAAATGAATAAACAATATATAATACTACGACGAAATGAACACAACAATAATTCTAAAACATGTATGCCAAAGTCATTGGTATATGATAATTTTCTTGTAATGTTGAAAAATAATACACATTTGTTTTGCATTTTTTTATTTTATTGTACATTTATTTTTTTATCAATCACAAGTACAATACACGAAGATCGTACGACTTTATATTATATTAAATTCTTATGCTTGTAGGTTATGTTGGTAAACTTAGCTGACAATAGCTCATAAAATAAAATGCTAATTACTATTTGATATAATAAATATATTTGGTTAAATTATTCCAGTTGAATTTTGAGATAAAATCCACTTATCAAGCATGTGCTTGTTTAAAAATAAATCCGCTCAAAATAATATTTAAAATAAAATAGTTAAAGTTGATTTTATGTAAAAGTATGGATGAATGATGTGAAGTGATGATGAGTAAGTTAAAGTTGATGTGATGTGTAAGAATGATTGATTTCGCATTATTGAGTTACTAGTATAATACTCGTGTGCTACATGGTTATTTAATAAAATGTTAAATGTACAACGAACAATGAAAATGAAAGATAGAAAATGTTTATATCTTTTGTTGAAGTTGGAAAAAATAAATAAAGAACAATATATAACAGTTTATAATAAATAACTAAGTGAATATCAATATTATTTTAAATTCTGAAAACTAATTTATATACATCATCAATTTTATTTATAAAATTTTTATTTAGAACACACAAGTGCATAATGTGGACAAAACAAAAAATTTGGAAAGTGAGATAATATCACATTATAGAAGGAAGATAATAAACAAATTTATATGGAATAATTTAAATATGTGTATTTATGAATTTTTGTCCGAACCATATTACAAAAGCTTTTGCACATAAGATTACGAAGCATGCAAAACTGTCAATCACCGGAGCACATTTTGTAATTATATACAAGAAGGATATTGATAATATTAAGGATAATAAAATTGAGTTAAAGTCGAGTTAGATTTTTAACATCCCCTCTATATATAATTTCAGAATGCGCTGAGTCTACGTGGCAAACTCTCATGCTTCGGAATCCTATTTGGCGAAAAATCATGCTTTGGAGTTAGGCTTGGATATAAATTAATATTTATATTAATTGTATTTTAATATCGTTTCCTATTATATAACCATTGAATTGAAAATATATTTTAAAAGTTGATAACTTTTGTATTTCTTATCGCTTTTATATATATAATATATCAAATTAATCATCTTTTGATGATTTTTGATTTGACATCCATATTGTATATATAAAATAAATATATTATATTTATCTTTATAATAATAAAAAAAATATTTATTAAAATTAATTAGAAAATAAAATTGTTATCAATTAATATATTTATGTTTAATGTAGTTATATGTTATAAGGTAGAAAATTTATTATAATATAACATATATATAAGTCGCAGAAGTAACATGTGTCATACTAAAATATATAAAAATATATACTCCCTCCTATTTTTGTTATTTGTCACTTTGGCTTAATTGATCATTGATAAAATAAATGTCGTTTTAGATATTTTGTTCATATTTTTCCATTTTTAACCCTCCATATAATACACAGTGTCTATTCATATCCTATCTCCATCGTTTCCCATAACATCCATTAAATAGAGTTAATATTGTCAAGAAAAAAAATCTTAATTAGTGTGTTGCATTTGAATTGATATTATGAAGTCCGTTTGTATTTTACTATTTATTATTATTATATATATATATAATACAAAACAGTAATATATATCCTTATAAATAAAATTTATATTTATCAAACTAAATTAAATTATATCAAATAAAACTATAAATTATATTATAAACTAATAGAAATTGGTATGTATTCTTTTAAAAGTGATACTTATTTCAAATCTAATGGGTATGTTGTCAATGTAATAAAAATAAATAATTATTTATATAAATTCTAAAATTACATATAAAGTTAAAAATCTGTGAAGTACGACTGATACGACAGTTGATGTATTAGGTATCTAATTTAATAAAAAAATAATCTATTTTTGTTTAATATTAAATAAACATATTCTACACTTATGCATATACATATCAATTCTATGATTATCAAGACAATTATAAAATATTTCAAAATTATTCCCAACAATATTATCAAAAAAAGTTATCTATAAAATTAGAATGTTATAAAAAGAATGGTGAAAATTTCAAACATGTTAATAAATTCAATTTTAACATCCATGAAAATATTTTTATCATGTTTTTAAAATATTTATACAAATATTTTAAAATAATTTATATATAGAAAAGTAAGACTTTTTTATTGAACTGTAACAACTATTCATTAATATTTATTTGCACGAATATTGCTAGGTCGATGCAATTTTTTCATGAATAGTGTATATTTTTAAATATTTATTTCGATTTTGTATTCATACAAATTATTGATTTATAATTAAATTTATCCCTTCACACTAACACTTATGCGTGCGTGCCATTTATCTGATTGTTATAAATTTCATAAATATAATAACTGCAACTTATAAAGTGTACGACTAAGAGTTATTCATCCCACTTAATATAATTTCAAAACGTTGTTGAGCCTAAATAACTGGCTCGCACGCTTCGGAAGCTTACTTGGAAATAAATTATATTTATTTTATAATAATAATAATTTTTTAATATTAATTAGAAAAATAAAATTATTTATCAATTAATATATTTATAAACAAAAGGTGGCATTTTCTATTTTTGCACTTTTATACGACAACATGTTTTTTTTTATTATTTTATGTTTTATATTTTTTTTCTTCAAACAACCCATATAGTACACGGGTGTCGTACTAATATGTTAAATTAAATGTGAATGAAATGTTTAAAATAACCAAGCACATGCCCTAATAAACCATACTCGTGCCTCTTTATAGCTTTCCTATCCACCCAACTACCTCTTGTCCCTACCTACCTTTTCTCCGCTTCTCTGCAATGCGAAGGTGCCAAGACTGATAGATAGCCACAACTATAGATACACACTTGTGTGTACACAATAGAGTCATAGAGACCCACCGTGAACCCGAAGAAGAAGAAGAACAAATACAGCAATGGAGTCAACACTGCTGTCTGTTGGAGCTTCCACGACCATGTCGATTTTGTCCCTCTCCAAGTCCCTCAATTCCCATTCCACCCCTATCATCGTCCAGCTCCGCCGCCTATCCACCGCCCGCCCCTCTCAGCTCGCCTACCTCAGCCTCACCCGCGGCGCCCAGTCGAGCAGGCTCGGTCCGCGCCCTTTGGCCCGGGGATTGTTCTCTCCAGACTTTCCCCGGAGCCGATTGCAGTTTGCCGCGAGGGCCGCGGCGTCGTATTCCGCCGGCGGAGGGGGGTTTGGTGGCATTGATGGTGGTGGATCAGGCGGTGGCGGAGATGGTGCGGGTGAAGGTGGAGATGCTAGGCCGAGTGCCGTGGCTCCTGGGTCCGCGGATGCTTCTGCTCAAAGCTCTGGTGTTATCATTCTTGACGTTGGGGTAAGCACTTAAGAGTTCACAGTTATTTTTCTGCTGGTAGTTTTTTGTTTAGCCTTTGGGTTTGTTGTCGACTTTTTTTGTGCTTAATTGGTTCTAGAGTTCATGGGCTTGTATTCGTTTCTTAGTTTAGAAGGTGATAGTATTCTGACTGTAATGAATTGTTTTATCATATTTGGCTGACCTTGGATTTTCAATTACTGATCACCTTTTGGATTATCTTCTGAATTTCTGTTGCTGTCATTTAAAATTTTTTTACTTCCTGATGTTTCAGGGAATGACGTGTGGGGGTTGCGCTGCAAGTGTGAAGAGGATTTTGGAGAGTCAAGTGAGTTGTAGTAATCCCCGGTGCATTTCTGTAGCTTTGTGCCTCTTTACTGATTTGTTTTTCCTCTTCATATTTTCTTGTTTTACCATCTACTCTGTGCATAAGAGAGTTGGAGGATTGAATCTAAGTTATAAAGATTTTGTTGGTTTCACCTATATTGCCGTTTCAAAATGTACTGGCGCTACAAGTGCATGCTTCATTTTAAATCGAATAAGGATTCTATATCCTTCATTGGGGATCCCGCAACTGTTTCAGTGTGCGGTGAGATATTTAGCCATTATGGCGTTGTACTAAATGAAAAGGGCTCTTCCGCCAGGAATGTTATGTTGTGGCTATAAGCTACTTATTTATTCAGGAAAAGATGAAAATAATCATTCTGAAGGGGAATTAAAGCAAGGGTTGGTGTGTGTTTGTTGGCAGATGCAAGCGTTCTTTTAATTTATTTAATTTTTTCCAATCCCTATTCTAGCAAAGATGTAACTTTGTGTTATTAGGTCACTAAACCATAAGAATTTTAAAAAGTTACAGATCCCATATAACTGATATAATGACGTTTTTATTATTTATTTCTTAATTTACTGTTGATTTATTGGAGATATGACACTTTTTGGCAGGATATGATGAGACGAAATGAAATGGTTGATGAACTTCCGATATGGACATACTCGTGCATTTATTTTCACCAATATTTTTTACTCGTAATGTTGTATTGAATAGTTTATATTATACGAACAGCCTCAGGTTTCTTCAGCAAGTGTAAATCTTACAACCGAGACAGCAATTGTATGGCCTGTATCTGAAGCCAGAGTTGTACCAAACTGGAGGAAGGATATAGGTGAGGCTCTGGCGAAGCACTTGACTAGTTGCGGTTTCACATCTAATCTTAGAGGTATGTAATTCTGCATCTAGTAGTTGGATGATTCATTTATTTTGCAATTGGTGCTACTTATGTTCATGAACACTATGCTTATGTGGGTGGCTGGAAATCCTTTTCTTGTCCGTGTGTTGCAATATGATAGTATATGGAATCAACATGTAGTAGTGGTTTCTCATCTCCTAGGCGTGCCGGGATCTATGTTCATCCTCAAGGATTAATCTGTTAGCGAATGGTACAAAGTTACAAGAATCCTTGCAACCATGCTCTGAATGTCCTCAAAGTTTACCTTGAAAAGGGTGAAAATGCTATCAATGGCTTTCTAGAATTCTATTCACCAATCTCAGGACTTTTGTAGATGAAGAATAAATGGGGCATTAATTTTTTCCATAGAATATTTTCTATTTAACTAAATTATTTATAAATCTGATAGTTGAATGAATGGTCCAAGAGAAAAGTACTTTACTGCTGAAATATTCATTAACGGTGTATTTGGATCTATTACACCCAGAGTCCAGAATTAGGTTTCTGTCTTCAGAAATTATTCAATTCAGACCAATATATAATTTCAGATTTGATTTTTTATATTGAAAACTTTTCCTTTTAACTTTATTTTTTGAGTTAATGGAAAGAAACAATAAATTACTAAGATTTCCTCAAGATAAGGAGAAAGAATAGCTGATAGCACGTCTTGGTTTTGGTGTTTTCAAATGTCTATATCAGAGACCAAGATCAAATAATCAGTTCTTAATCTTGTCAATTTTATTAACCTTTAGCATTTCCTTAAAAAAAAAAAAGCACTACAGTATTGTATACTTGAGCACCTTTATGTTCCATCCTTGAAAGTGCCATGCCATATAAACCTAGCTAGACCATGAAAATTCTCATCCGAGTTTTAAGTCTGGTAAAAGTTGGCCTTAATCAATGGCTTTATTGGATATTAGCAGATGAGGGAGCCACAGATGGGGATATTCAGTTGTAGGATGCAATGGATTCTTGTGACAACTCTTCATGGTATGTCCTAGTTCCACTCATGTTCAATAGTACTACTTGTCCAGTTTGGACTTATTGAACTAATAAAAAAAACCCAAGGTATTCTAATACTAGTTTTTTCATCAGTAGGTGTGTTTCTTCGGCTACTATTGGTGATTTATGGAAGTCAGGCATACCTATCCTATTGAGAAGATTCACCATAAGAAATGTTGTTGTTTCTACACATCAGTTGACACTGACTTCATTGCCATTGAATAATTTAATAGCTTTTGTAAGCTAGGTTGGAAATGATCAAGCTAGTTGTCTAATGCATGAACATTTTCTTGACAAACATTTTATTTGTATGCGTGTGTTGCAATATCTAAAGCAGAAGTGAGGTTTTTGTATTCGACCAATTATTGTATGGAAAATGAGGAATTTTTGTTTTTGTTCTTGTTTTCTTTCCTCTTGATGTTGTCCTTTCTAATTTATTGGCTTTCTATTATACTTGGTTCATATTTCTAGTTTTCTACCCTACTGTAGCCAATTTTATATGTTTTCTATATCACAGTCTTTTATGTGTGACCTGGGTCATCTTGGTGAGATTATTCAGCTGAAAATTGATATTATACTAAGCTCTAAAGCATTAGCATAGTAATGTCATTACATGATTGGTAATTAAAAGGGAGTTCTTATCAGTTAATACCAGTTTCGACGACGTGCTTGCTTAGTCAACACTACCCAAATCTTGGAGAACAAACCATATAATTGAATCACCACAGACCAAACAAACTGACCTTAATTTTTCTTGTTTAGTTTTTTATTTTTTATTTTTTTTTTATTTTTTTTTTCAATTTGAGTTTTTCTCAAACTGATTTAGCACCTGTTTGTTCTAAATTGACTGGACTGCTGGCTGGAAACCATTAAAATACTAGAGGTTGTTAAGCTCCGCGGTGGGTGAGAAGAAGTTCCTTGCATTACTTCTGTCATCTTGTTCTGTGATTTACTATAAGATGTTAATTAGACGTGTGAACAATCTTCCAGAAAATTTAAGAGTCTATCAATATTATAACTTGCTTGTGAAAGAAATATGAAAGTAAAAAAACATAATAATGAAAACTAGAATTATTTGAAAATTCCAAGAAAAAATCTGATATAATTTTCCTGCTCCCTTCTGTTGATAATTTATTGCATTTATTTATTCATTGTATCTGATCGAAATCTAAAATTTTCCTTTTTTACTTCACCATTCATATAGTAGTTATTACAGCTCAGTAATTATGTTTCCCACACAAGCCAAGAGGTAGTGTTTCTAACTCAAGATATCCACCATCTGTTGATAGAACAGGTGGCAGTATGTTAAAGGATGATTTATCAGTACAAATCTTTTCCTGCCTATATTATTGCAAATATTATCTGAACAACCAGATGCTTTTATTTGTGGCATCTTAGCTGCTCTTCTGCTATAGAATGATTCTCTGGTTCTTGAAGTGCAGCTTTAATGATGCAACAATGACAAGAAGTTACTTGTCCAAACATTTAGAAGAAGCTGATTCGTTTTCCAGAAATCCGCTGTTGTCATCAGTTGCTAAATCCTTTTTGCACATTCAGAATTTTCTGTTGCAAAATTTCGAACTGACTGATTTGATGTATCAAGTCATGTATAAAATTCCTAACTGGACGAATCTTCAGATTAATGGCTTAGTTTTAAGTTCAACTCCAATGTTCGATATATATATATATATATATATATATATATGTTTTCGATCGTGTAAGATTCCAAAAAGAAACCTTTATCAATTTTGTGTTCAGCCCCTGAAAGATTTTTGCTATTATCATATTAATGCTATTTGTATATTTAGTTTCTGAGGATTTGCATGCTGCTGCAACTTTCCGAGTGACATTAGACTTGGCAATTATGTTGTGCGATGATACATAGTGATATGAGCTTTTCCCAAAAGATCAGTCTTATTTATTACTTTTGATTGAGTGTTTATTATATTTATATCCAGAATCCTCATTCTTTTCAGATTTAAGGAGGGTGAACTTCTATGAGACCTTTGAGAAGAAAATAAATGAGAAACGTGCTCTGTTGAGAGAAAGCGGTAATTTTTCCCCTCCATTATGTATTATAATTGACATTAGAATAATGGCATATAGTTGATTTTAGAATATTGGTATTGTGGATCAATTGATTCAAAATTGGCTATTAACAGGACGTGGACTTGTTGTTTCATGGGCTCTGTGTGCTGTGTGCATTGTCGGCCATCTATCTCATTTTTTTGGAGCCAAGGCTGCATGGATCCATGCATTGCATTCCACAGGATTCCACATGTCTTTGTCCCTTTTTACGTTGTTAGGTCCTGGCCGTCAACTTATAATGGACGGTCTTAAAAGTCTTCTTAGAGGGTCCCCTAACATGAATACACTAGTTGGTCTTGGGGCTTTATCATCCTTTGCTGTCAGTTCCTTGGCAGCCTTTATCCCTAAACTGGTAAATTGTCAGATAGAAGCTCGCAATATTTCTCAACTGATATCTCTTCATTATGCCATATGCAGCATATATATTGTATTTGCTACTTTCTCTTTTAGAAATTTTGACTGCAGGTGTAGTTTCAAATTATATTTTGGTGCACATCATTTATGTTCCTTACCAGACGTTAGGGGCATGCTGAGTAGGTGTGTACGTTTTCTGATGTGCTTTCTATTAAAAGAAACTTCTGTTGACATAGGGATGGAGAACTTTCTTTGAAGAACCAGTTATGTTGATAGCATTCGTCTTACTTGGGAAAAACCTTGAACAGAGGGCCAAGATAAGAGCAACGAGTGATATGACTGGTCTTCTAAGTATTTTGCCATCTAAAGCTCGTCTTCTGATTAATGGCAATGCAGAAGACTCGAGCTCAAGTGTCGAAGTGCCTTCTCACAGCCTTTCTGTGGGAGATCAAATCATTGTGTTGCCTGGTGTAAGTTTTTTGTAAACTTTGAATCTTACCTCTAATTTCTCATGGAGTATATGAATCCTGAATCCGTTTAACGAAAAGCTCTGCCTGCATACAATCATATATAACCGTCATTGATTTCATATTGATATAATGGTTGTAGGATCGTATTCCAGCTGATGGAGTTGTTAGGGCAGGCAGAAGCAGCGTCGATGAGTCAAGTTTTACTGGAGAGCCTCTACCTGTCACTAAATTACCGGGGGTATTTATACTGTTTTAATTTGTCAGCAAATTCTGCTTTTCCAACAGCGATGCAAAAATGTGTTTGGTTTGGTAGTTTGCCAGTCTGTTGGATAAGGAACCATATCTCTAACTTGTTGATGGTAGGTGGGAAATATCAGAAGCTGAGTGGCAATGGGAAGGAATTCATTTTATCTTTATCGGGTGAAACAAACGATATTACAAAAAAAATTACGATATGAAAAGTTTTAGTCAAATACATCAAATAGCAATTCTCACGAATGGCTTGTTTAAAAGTAATTTAGATATGATGTTTTATTCGAATTGTGATATTAAAAGGTACAGTTTCTCTCTACAGGACCATTTGTCTTATAAAGAATTTCCACATGCCAAAAAAAAAATCTGAAAGATAGTATGGAAGTTTTTGTCCTTTATCTATGTGATTTAATCCATTTCCTTTATTTTTTTCCCCGAATGTCGCCAGCCTGGTTGGAGGATTTGTCCATGTCAAACATTGTTGTCATCTTTGATTGAATTGCAATTCCTATAGTTCATCTCGCTCACATTGCCCTGCCTGCTTGGTTTTCACTTTGTACTAGGCTGACGTGGCAGCTGGAAGCATAAACCTGAACGGGAAAATTACAATAGAGGTTAGGAGACCAGGTGGCGAGACTGCAATCGGAGACATAGTCCGGCTGGTTGAAGAAGCACAAACTAGAGAAGCTCCTGTTCAACGGTTAGCTGATAAGGTCTGTCACCTGCAACTTCTGCTCTCATTTTTGTGATGACATTTCTGTCTCATACTTCTGTGTAGACTGTTCAAAAGGTTGTAAGAAGTTATTTAGATCTTTGATGGGTCTTGGCCAGGGAAATCCATCTCAGAATTTAACATATAAATGGGAATTAGCATTTGTTTTTAGTGTTCACATATATTATATGCCTTCGTGCACGATTTATATGATATATCAACTTGACTTGAAACTTAGATGAAAAGGTCAACCTAGAATTTCATCCAAAACATCAATGACTACAGTATACTGGTTTCATGTGGGCATGGTGTTGCAGGAAGTTGTATGATATACACATACATATATGCATATAATCCTCAAAGCTGTTTAGAAAAATATATCAATCACTGTAGTAGAGGAAAATTCTGTAGATTAATCAAATAACTACATAATATGAAGGAAAATCTTTTTATTGCATTATATCTTCTTCAATTTATGCACTTACTCACACTAGTAAGGAAGATGCAACGTGTATTATTGCTTTTTTTTATTTAAAATTAATTTTATTATTAGATTTATATTTAATAGTATAATATAATTTTCTTCCATTATTTTAACAAAAAAATGGTGTATTTTATGATAAACTATAATAGATGTATTGATAATGAAATATATAATATTTAATACTATTAACCGGACTCTATGATACATAAAATTAAATAAAAAACATTGGTTTGAAAATCCAAAATATTTTTATTTTTTTTTTGTGAAATTTTAAATGCCAAAAAAATCTATGGCGTCTTTTATGTTATTTAATGATATTCTCATAATTGCTTAAAATAATGATCATTATTATTGTCATCATAATATAGTTTTCTAATGTCTTCCTTTTGCGCCATACTTTTTGAAATGTAGTTTTCTGTTGTCTTCCTTTTGCATCATACTTTTTGAAAAATAACTCGAATTTGCTATAACTATCATTTATAATGATATTTTTTTTATTGTTGATTGGAAGCTAACCAACTATGACTATATTTGGTAAAACTATTTGATAAGCTAGCTTATACCCTATCAGTAATTTTTGAGCTTATAGCTGAAAAGCTAGCTTATATGATTAAAGTGTTTGGTAAAATTAGCTAGCTAGCTGAAATAAAAATTTCAATGAGCTTATTTGAAAAGCAACCCAAATAAGCTCGAGCTTTTTAAAAAAGCTCGTCATACCAAAAATGGAGCTTATTTGAAAACATAGAGCTTATAAGCTAACCAAATAAGTTATAAGCTAGCTTATTTGTCTACCAAACATAACCTAAGTTTGAATGTTTCCCTCTCTATTATTTTGATTATAGTGGTTGCTTATTAAATTATATTTGAAAGTACAATATTTCGCAATACTTATATATACATATTTTCTCTCTGATAATAAATGAACATTTAAAAATATCTTTAAAATCGTAGTTATTTCAAAAAGAAAATTTACATGAAAAATATTGGGAACAATAACATCATTGATCGATTAAAGGTACCCAACAATGAATGATTGAAGATACTCATCTATATATATATATATATATATATATATATATTGTCCAACATAAATTATTGTTGCATCTCCTAACATTGCAATGCACCATTATTATTTTTGGCCACAGATTCTCAAGACTATCCTAAATGTGAAAATAAATATTTCCAGTTTAAATGAATTGTAAAATGATGATTCTTTCATATTTTACTTTTTCTTAATATTATTTTATATCTTCGTCAATATTTTTATATAGTTTATTTTCCCAACTTTTGAGAAGTGACTTGAAACATTTACTTTATGAATGATTTCATAAATAAGTTGGCTAATTACAACAATTTTAAAGTAAAAATGTACTATTTACTTTTATTTAATTGATTTTAATTGTAATTATTTTCTAATAAGTACATGTATTTTGAAATTCAAGATCTAAAATCGAGTTTTAGTTTTTTGATTGTATTTTTATAATGTACTCTATTTTTATATATATTACAGTTAAAGTAAAAGGTAGATTACTATCATAAAAGAACATTTATACTTTACAATCATATTAGCATATTGTTTTAGTGAATAATTTAAGCAAAATATTTCTATTAAGATTATATATTTTTCACTTAAGGAATAACTTTTTTCCACAAAAATTTGTCTTTTTGTGTGTTGAAGAACTATTTTTGATTCAATCATCATTCATAAACATATGAAGTATGAACATATGCATGTTCACTATTTATTTATTTATTTATTTATTTATTTTAATACTATAACAAAAAATCTCTATAGTAAACAATATGATATTTAGACATTAGAGAAGATACTTTCATTGATGCATTATATATTTACACTTATGAAATAAATATGTTTTATTTAGAATCCTTAAAATAATATTTTCTCTTATATTTAAAAATTACCTCTAAAATAGCCAAACCAGAACCTAACGTCATATGTAGATTAATAGTTAATATTATAATTAAGAACAAATTATTTATTGAAAATCTATAAATTTGCGTAGATAATCATTTTGTTTGTGTAAAATATTAAAAATATAATTAAGTATAAAAAATTAAAGATAATGAATAAAAATTAAAGATAATGAATAAAAATAAATTAAGAAATGGAGGTTCAAAAACTTAACAAATATTTTTAGTTGTAACTTCCTAAAGATAATTTCATTATTAACCTCAAAACTTATCTAAACTTATTTTTAATGAGGGCATTTTTGGCAATTCCAAAGTTTCAAGAAACTACTCTTCCTTTTAACAAAGTTATAATAATATATGTATATAGATATAGATATAGATTATAGATTTGCAGTGCATCATGCTATTTTGCTAGGAAGTAACAGTCCATTGATAGAATTATTTTTCTTCTAGGTTGCTGGACACTTTACATATGGAGTAATGGCACTTTCTGCCGCCACATTTATGTTCTGGAATCTTTATGGTTCACACATTCTTCCAGCTGCTCTTTACCAAGGAAGTTCCATGTCACTGGCATTACAGCTTTCGTGTAGTGTTCTGGTATTGCATGATAGTCATAATTTTATATGCTGAACTCCTTAATTGAAATTATTGAAATAATCTAAGTCTGCTGTTGTGCAGGTTGTTGCATGTCCATGTGCACTCGGGCTAGCAACACCGACAGCTGTGCTGGTAATGTTTCTGTATGAGAGTTTTGAGAATTGTTATATGATCAACATAACTAGGCCATGTTGCAGCACTTAACTTTTAGTTAACATCAGGTAGGAACTTCACTTGGTGCGAAAAGAGGACTACTATTGCGTGGTGGAAGTATATTGGAAAAATTTTCAGCAGTCAATACCATTGTTTTCGACAAAACGGGCACGTTAACGATGGGAAAGCCTACTGTGACAAAAGTAGTGATACAAGGCCACCAGGAAGATACAAATTCAGAGTTGAGTACGGAATTACGCTGTTTGATTATGTTATTTATGAAGTAGTGCTAATGATATGCTGCTAGTTATTTAAATTCTTCTTAATCTTTACATGAGTTTGATAACAATGGAACAATCTATCTCGATTTTCATATAAATTCTAAATTTGGGAGGTTTATCTAGGCTACTATAGAAAATTATAGTCTCAACTCGAAATATTGGAAGTTTATTTAGGCAACTGTAGAAAGTTATAGTCCTTTTCAAGCTCTTATCAGATTTTCTACTTTACCTATCAGGATGAAAGATATGCTTGTCCTTGTTGCTGTCACCTTAACTATTGATAGATACTTTACCTATCAGGACGAAAGTTATGCTTGTTCTTGTTGCTGTCACCTTAAATATTGATAGATACTTTACCTATCAGGATGAAAGTCACCTTAACTATTGATAGATGGGCATCGTTAGGGTTATAGATTCGGTTGAAAGGGTGCGGTCCCATAGAGGTGAAACGCACCATAAGAGGTAAGCTTAGGTGAGCTTTAGTGAGATTCCATCCCAAAACCAATTGATGATGGGAGGAGTAGCCCACTGGACTTGTAATTTAGGCCCAATTTTCCTATGGAATCAATGTGGGACAACTCACAAGTGATATTTCAACATGCCCCTTCACTTGTGAGTTCTTTATAGTTTATAGGCTAAAGCCCAGAACAAGCCGAGTAAATTAAATCATCGCAGGCTCGCAGGTCTAAGATCAGGCATTCTTTGAACCATGTTAGACATAGATTCGAGGGAAAAGAGTGCGGTCCCATAGAAGTGAAGTGCACCTTAAGAGGTTAAGCCTAGTTTACAAGCCTAGTGAGCTACTACTCCCATCACCAATTGATTTTTCAATTTGGGATGAACAAAACTCACCCCTGCACGTCACCCTCTATTTTCTATGGGACCACACCCTTTTCTCCAAAACTATAACTCTAACATGGTACTAGAGCCTAGGAATAAAAAGTGTGTGTGTATTATCATGAACAATATGAATTAACAATATTAGAGAGCCAAAAACTTTTAGGGCTAGAGTGAGTGACTGTCAGTCTAGTATTAGGAAGTCTGGGGCGAGTGACTGTCAGTCTGGTATTATAAAGTCTAGGCTTGCAACCCCAGTAAATTTGACATGTCTTTAGTACATGTCCTCTCCCCTACAATCGGCTCGTACGCCGCCTTCCAAACGAATAATACAACTTCTCTTGCTTTTTCTTCCAACCTTTCTCTTTGTACAGTTGGATTGTCTCAAATGGTATTTTCATTCGTTCTAAATCTTGACAATTTAGTCTCTGGCCGCTCATTTGTGGGAACACCCCGATTAAACACGTCTATTAACAACTTGAAATAAGTCATAGGTTGTAAGCCTTTCCTGATCGAACACGTCTATTAACAACTTGAAATAAGTCGTAGGTTGTATGTCTGTCGCATGTACGTGAAGATGATACACTTAGGCATAGATATCATAATCTTCATACTCCACATCAACATTCGACTAATGTTGGAGTGGTACTAATAACTGTAAATGCTCAATATCAACTCCTTGTTCAGGAAGGTTTTGAATGAAGCTTAGAACCTTTTGACCGTAAATGTTCAATATCAACTCCTTGTTCACGAAGGTTTTGAATGAAGCTTAGAACCAGTTTCGACGGAGGATCTCCATGTATTCTACCCAATGTGCATAAAATCTCGTAAGATCTATCTACTGTCTACTCTTCCCCTAACACCATCCAATCATAAGAGGTAGATCATGTCATTGCCGATTTTTTTTTTTTTTGGTGCCTAGACAGACGGCTACGGATTTTCTCGAACGCTTACTAGATCTTGCCTCCTCCGGTGATAACTCCTCTCGAATTTTGGCGGCGGCGCAATGTAGAACGAGTGGCCGAGTTGGATTTTCTCCGAGAGATGTTGTACTATGTGAGAAAAAGAGAGAGAAGGTTGAAACGGCAATAGAAGCTGTGCCGATTGCAGGGGAGAGGACATGTACCAAAGACATGTTAAATGACATGTACCACATACATGTTATATTTACTGGCTGCCAACTCCTAACTTCATAATTCTCACTTTATTCCTGCTCTCTAGTTAGTTCATAATTGTTCATACTAGATAGACACTTTATACCTTGGCTCTCTCTGATACCTTGTTAGAGTTTTATATGGGGGAAACAAGATGCAGTGCGGTCCCATAGGGGTGAACCACATCATAAGAGGGTGAACTTAGCTTATAAGCCTAGTGAGCTACCCTTACGTTCACCAATTGGTTTTGGGATGAAACCTAACTAGGTGCACCTAGGCCACATGGTGCGCTTCAACTCTAACTCTAATATAGTATTAGAGCCAAGAAATATAGTGTTTATTTGGTATTATGAACCATTATGAATTAACAAATGTACTATGAACCATTATGAATTAACAAATGTACTACAGAGCAAAAAAATTATCAGAGCGAAGGAATAAAGCGACTGTCTGGTATTTATGAAGTCTGGGTACATATTTTGACTATGAATTTGACATGTTTTGGTACATATCTTTTCTCCTGCAATCGGTTCGTATGCTGCCTTCTAAAAGAACAACACAACTTCTCGTCTTTTCCAACCTTTTCTTCGTTAACAAGGAGGTCATCATGCCAGATTTATCAATATGGTTCCAACATATGCCGGGTGTTGATTTGGAGTATGAAGATTATGCCTATTCTTTTCATATGTACGAACTTGCGACAAACTTATTTCAAGCTGTTAATAGACGATTGGGTTGTGGATCGAGTTGTTCCTTAATTGAGTTCGGCAAGTGTCTAAATTGTCAAGATTTGGGACGAATGAAACGATAATCCTACAATATAGGAGAAAAGGTTGGAAAAGGCAAGAGAAGCTCTATTGTTCTTTTAGAAGGCGACCTATTGGAGGGGAGAGACTTGTATAAAGATGTATTTTAAATTAACTGGGTGCCATCCCAACTTTAATACCAAACAATCACTTTGTTTTGTAGTTGTTGGCTCTCTAATACATGTGTTAATTCATAATACCGGATACACTTTATTTCTTGGTTTTGATACCATGTTAGAGTTATGGATTTTGAGGAGGAGGGTGCAACACTATAGATAGAAGTGCACCAAAGGGAGTGACCGTAGGTGCACCTTAGTGAGGTTCCATCCCAAAACTAATGGATAATGGGAGGAGTAGCTAACTACGCTCCGTAGAGGGAAGCGAATAATAAGAGGGCTTAGCTCACTACGCTCCCTAATAAATTGATTTATATTTGAAATCATGCATAACTTATAAACTATATTTTATGAAATATACTACTTAGAATGGTTAAATATAAAGATTTTTAAAAATATTATATACTTATAAATATCAAATAAGTTTTTACATAATAATTATTATTTTTTATTTATATTACTGTACATTTATTGTATAAATATCAAAATTTCCTTTTATTATAGTTAGAAAAAAAATTACAAAATATATAAAATAAAATTTTACGGGCGCCTAGGTTGCCGCCTAGACCGCCTAATCAGTCTAGGTGTTACTAACTTCGCAACCGCCTGGAAACGCCACCTAGCCAGCCTAGGCGGCGCCTAATTGCCCGAGTGGCTAGAAGGGCCGCCTAGACGAAATTGAGGCGTCCAGGTGCCGCCTAGCGCCTGGGTGGGCGCCCAGCACGACTTTTAGTACAGTGGAAATTAGTGAAGTTCTATGGAGGTGACGGTGTTGTAGGGTGTCATCCAAAATATGTAATAGGTGAGTAATTTGCCTAGTACGCCTACCTCGTAATGGTGTGGGGGACTTTTTGGCATATAACTTGTGCCAAAAGAAGAAAAAGGACTTAATAAATTAAGGAAGAGTCCATTATTTGTTCAGAGACAAAAATGCAAAATACAAAATGTCCAAGAAGGAAAACAGAAACTTTTGATTTAGAGGCACCCTTCAGACTATTATATGATAAGTGATGCTTACTTGTTACTTGGCTTGGAGACTAATGACAACTCTTCAGACCGTAGGTTACGTAAATTCTGGTGCAATAAATTGTTTTCATGTTTTTGTAGATGTGGTTTCGACATATATGTTGCTTCGATAGCTTGAAGTGTGTTCTTCACAACTGATCATCTTTCTCTACAAAATTCTTTTTATGGAAACTTATTTTTCATGCCTTTATGATAGTGGGCCTTGTTAATTGCAGACCAGATTCGAAGTCGACTCATAAGTGGTCTGAAGTTGAAGTTCTGAAATTAGCCGCTGGAGTAGAGTCGAGTACAATCCATCCAATTGGTAAAGCAATTGTTGAGGCTGCAAAAACTTTAAAGTGTCCAAATGTGAAGGTATACTTTTTATCCTTTCGTGCTATTGCTGCTACTCAGAGATTATTTGGTGATATGAAGCTGATTGCATTGGATGCTGGTTTTTGTCATTTTATGTAAATGTATAATTCTATAGGTACAGATGGTAAAGGGTTAGCTTGCATACAATTTTAATGACATGAACGCTCTTTGCTCTGAGTGTTTGAGCTTCTGCTGTGTCCCTTGGTCTGTACCGATGAATTCCAGAGTTAAATTGACTTACACTGATCATAATTATAATAATGAGGCAGCCTCATATTTCAGTTGCTTTAGAGTTGCTGTTCAGATTTGTCATCTTCTCTAGTGGTTCTTGAGAATGTGGTTCTGTAGATTCATTGTTGTCAATCCTTCGCATAAAGATTACATCTTTAATCAGTTTGTGTATGATACTGGTCTCGAGGAAAACTTTTGAATTGCTTAATGATCTGCTTGTAGGCAGTGGAAGGAACATTCACCGAGGAACCAGGTTCTGGTGCGGTAGCAACTATTGACGAGAAAAAGGTCGCTGTCGGCACACTTGACTGGGTCCAAAGGTAATCAATATATGTCAATAATCTCCTTTTCTAATGGCGACTAAGCTTAACTTCAAAATTGTCACCATATGTTTAATTTGTCAAAGAAGTACAAGCACTTTTCTTCGCTTCCTCAAAGCTGTTTTTTAATGTTTTCTGAACTTCTGTAGCTATATTTTTTTCCCATGTTCCTATGATCCTATCAAAACATTCTTAACTAGTAGCATCTAAGGTTTCACTCTTAAATACCTAATGCCACCATGCTTCCGCCACATCACATATATGCTTTTCAAACACATGCAGGCATGGAGTAGTTGGTGGCAGTCCATTCCAAGAAATTGAGGAGTTCAAAAATCAATCAGTTGTTTATGTTGGAGTAGACGGTATTCTTGCCGGGGTTATATATGTTGAGGATCAAATCAGAGAAGATGCCCCACAAGTCATTGAATCATTGACCCGTCAAGGAATTAGTACCTATTTGCTTTCTGGTGATAAAAGAAGTGCTGCCGAATATGTTGCATCTGCTGTGGGGATCCCAAAGGAAAGGGTGAGACCATTGGAGTTCACATAAACTGACTGCCTTGAATTGGGCATTCCTATATTTTTAAAAGTTCCCATAAAAAAAAAAATATATATTGTATGCTTCCAAGTTATACGCAATTGTGCAGATTAAATTAGCATTGAGTAAATGGTTGGTTGTAGGTTCTGTATGGGGTCAAACCCGACGAGAAAAAGAAGTTCATTAGCAGACTTCAGGAGGGTCAGAATATTGTAGCTATGGTTGGTGATGGAATCAATGATGCAGCGGCCTTGGCTTCGTCACATGTTGGAGTTGCTATTGGGGGAGGTGTTGGTGCGGCCAGTGAGGTGTCCTCAATAGTGCTAATGCAGAATAGGTTGTCCCAGGTACATCACTAAGGGCATACTTGTTTACTAATTTTTCAGGTTTTTACAAGTGTTTTTTATTAACTAGGGTTTATTTGAAAAAGTTAGTATGGTTAGTTGTTTGTGGGATTTTAAGTTTGTATTAAAATAATATTTAAAATAAAATGATTATTTGATGTAAAAACATGAGATAAATGATTGGAAATAATACGTAGTTGAAATTATGTGAGTGGATGAATAGTAAATTAAAGTTGATGTGGTGCGTAAGGATGATTGAATGATATTATTTAATTATAGTGGGGTTGAGTTAAAGTTAACTTATATTTTTAGTTGAGATTGAATTTTTTTGAGTTTTTGATAAACAAGCAAGCACTAAATGCTTCGTCTTACTGGAATTCCTGGAACAATCTGATCTCTCATTGTTTTTCATTTTGTAGTTGTGAATTAATTTATTGATTTAAATTCCATTAGCTTCTATGGTATCGCAATTTAGTCATACTGAAAGTCTGAAAGTTGCATGTGTGGCATATGAGTATAAAAGATGGGAGCCTTGCATTTGCAATATTTGGTTGTTCATAATATGTTCTAGTTTACATTCATATGATGCAATCTGACTGGTTAATTGTATAAGTCACAGTTCCAGATGATCAATTTTGATGACATTCGGAGGGCTACTCTGATAATTACCTCATTTGTAGCATCATTTGATCAGTCAGTCTGCAAAAATGGTTATGATCGGGATTTTTAAAGTGTGTCCGTCTCTGACTACAAACTCTAATCTGCAGTTGCTAGACGCCCTGGAGCTGAGTAGAGTTACCATGAAAACTGTGAAGCAAAATCTTTGGTGGGCCTTTGCGTACAACATCGTAAGTTTCTCCCCTATTCTGCAGTTCAAAATACTCGTAAAAATTATTCTTCTTTTTTGTTAGCATTTTTTTTTTTTTTTACAGATTGGTATTCCGGTAGCAGCTGGAACTTTGCTGCCTGTGACCGGGACAATGCTGTCGCCCTCAATTGCCGGTGCACTTATGGGTTTGAGCTCCATTGGTGTGATGACAAATTCGTTGCTTTTGAGACTGAAGTTCACTATGGTACAGAAGAATACAGTTGGAAAATCGCTGTACAGTAAAGTCCCTTCAGACATCGAGAATCCCAGGAATGAAGATTGACAAATTGATGGTCAATAAAGCCTTTCAGCATTCAAATGATGGATAATTTTACATGAGCCAATCGGAGTTTTTAGTCAGAGAGTATGACCAGTACTTCAGCAGAAGCACATTTTTTTATGGGCTCCAGAAGAGAAATCAGTTAAATGTGCTTTGCACAGGATTGCACGTTGACCTTCACTGGTGATTTTAATGGAGCTTCACCGGTGATGTTAATAGTTTACAGGTCATTACCACTGACTCCTTCATAAAGGAAGTTGACATCGTCTTGATCCTTTGTTCCTGTCTGTCTTTGAATAATGAAAGGGGTTCGTGAGATAAAAACTCCGAGTCTTCAACTTTGTTGCATCAAATTTGATAATTCGACCTACATTAGGAGATAAT